TACCTATCTTTTTTGAAACTCTATATTGATACATGCATTCAGTATATCTTTGCTGCTTTTTCTTAGAACTTTCGAGATTTTCACTGTTGTCCCCTCAAATCATTTCACTTTGAATAACTCTCTTTTATTCCCACTTTTTTTTAACACGATGTACAATCTATCCATCTCTTTCTTTCTTTCTTCTCTTCTCCCTCATTGTCTTACCAATGAAAGTGCCAGGTACTCTAATTTTGACACAAATTTATCCGTTCAAGAATAGCCTCTTGTAAGGAATTGAGAGTAAAATCTACGCAACGCTGCGCTCTGATTTTTAATTATCTGATTTACCGCCCAGTTGATTTTTTAATCCATGATATTTGTTTATTGAAACGCGAAGATAAGTTCGAAAAAATTTTTCGTAGTGAATCTGCTTAGTCTCAATTCAAAATTGTTTTTATTTCATTATGAATTTGCGTCGATTCAAATCAAATTCGCTTATTACATTTTGAATTTGCTACGTCCTGTTCTGAACTTGGCTAATTCATTTTGAATTTGCTACGAGCCATTCTGAACTTGGCTATTTCACTTTGAATTTGCTACGTCCCGTTCTGAACTTGGCTATTTCATTTTGAATTTGCTACGTCCCGTTCTGAACTTGGCTATTTCATTTTGAATTTGCTACGTTCCATTCTGAACTTGGCTATTTCATTTTGAATTTGCTACGTCCCGTTCTGACCTTGGCTATTTCATTTTGAATTTGCTACGTCCCGTTCTGACCTTGGCTATTTCATTTTGAAGTTGCTACGTCCCATTCTGAATTTGACTATTTCATTTTGAATTTGCTACGTCCCATTCTGAACTTGACTATTTCATTTTAATCTTGCTATATCCCATTCTGAACTTGGCTATTTCATTTTGAATTTGCTACGTCCCATTCTGAACTTGACTATTTCATTTTAATCTTGCTATATCCCATTCTGAACTTGGCTATTTAATTATGAATTTGCTTAGTGCCAAAATGACTTTGATTAGTCCCAGATTGAACTTGAAATGGTATAGAATTCATTAATGCATCAAAATCATTTTTTATATTTTTATTTTCATTATTTTGATGATAATGAATTTATTATAATTTTTCTTTGTTAATAAATAATAATAATAATAATAATAATAATAACAATAATAATAATAATAATAATAATAATAATAATAAGCAAAAGTAACTTTCAAGAAAGGTAGAATTACAGAAACACCCTTAATATATTTAGATTTTGTCGCAAAGATTAGGGAACTGGAGCATGATGAAGCTTATAAGTACCTAGGAATTAGCGAAGGAGATGGCATACAACACCCCCAAATGAAGGAAAAAAATAAGAAAAGAGTACTACAGGCGTGTACGTCTGGTACTAAATACTGAGCTAAACTCAAAAAGCAGGATATCAGTCATAAACACATTGGCTGTCCCTGTGGTGCAATACAGCTTTAATGTCCTTAACTGGACCATAGCTGAAATTAAGCGAATGGACGCCAAAACGAGAAAGCTTCTCACTTGCTATCGCATGCATCATCCCAAAGCTGATGTCGATCGTCTGTATGTGCCCAGATCCGAAGGAGGCAGAGGATTAGTCCAACTAGAACTGTCCTACAAAACTACAACAATTGGCCTCCAAAGATATTTGGAAACTACAGAAGACTAGATGATGGTATGCGTCAAGGAACATGAAAGTAGTAAGCGTCTTTACTCCGTAATGAAGCCAACAAATTCAAAATAGAGTTTCAAATGGGCGTAGAGATGCAACTACAGCGCAATACACCGGCTGAAACTGCAAAATACCTAAAAAAGACAACAAAGACGAATGCAACCGACCAGATACAGAAGCGCTGGCAAGATAAACCGCTTCATGGCCAATACTCTGCCCGTACCAAATAAGCTGACGTAGACAAAACCCGTAGCCATCAGTGGCTACGTAGTGCAGGGTTGAAAGCAGAAACTGAAGGTTTTATCCTTGCTGCGCAGGACCAATGCTTGCTAACTCGGAATTATCAAGCACATATACTAAAATACTGTGTCAGCCCAAAATGCAGATTCTGTGATAAATATCCAGAAACGATTGATCATCTTGTATCAGGTTGCACGGTGTTGGCACCCACTGAATATAAAACCCGACATGACAGAGTGGGCCAATATCTGCACTGGAAAATCTGCAACTTCTACGGGAAGGAAACTGAAAGAAACTGGTATGAACACCACCCAGACCCGGTTACGGAGATAGGACCTGTTACAATTCTATGGGACTACACAATACACACTGACAGAACATTCAAGGCCAACCGGCCAGATATTGTTATTAAAGACCACAAACAAAAACGGTGCCTCCTTATTGATATGGCAGTCCCTGCTGACTGCAATGTATCTTTGAAGATATTCAAAAAGTTGTCAAAGTACAAGGACCTTGAAATAGAAATCTCGAAAATGTGGCATATGGGAACATCAACAATCCCTTTTGTAGTTGGAGCCCTAGGACTGATTGGAAAAGATTGCAGTAGACTAATTGAAGGGATTCCTGGAAGTCCATGCCTCAAGGAGATACAAAAAATTGTTCTGACAAGTACAGCCCACACCTTACGAAGGGCTTTATCTATGTAATTTAATTTTTTTTCTTTTTTTTTTTTATCAGTGGAAAGTGTCATGACGCCATTTCTAACCTTAGGTCCCTGGGCGGGACCCGGGAAGAAATGTGTAAACGTCAGAAATCAAAGAAAATAAAAATAATAATAAATATTTTGCTGGTAAAAGACTCTGTGAATGACGGGAGCAAGCAGTTTGAATGTTTGAGGGATTTATATGTTTATTGTTGATATATTTTTTATTGATATGTTTATTACTGATATGTTCATTATTGATATGTTTATTCTTTATATGTTTGCATAATCAATACTATACGTTTCATACGCACGTTTTGTTTTTCATTACTGTATACCTAGTTTTGCACACCCTCGTCTTTATATGTATATATTATATTATATTATATGTATATATCATACTATCTTATATTATATTAAATGTATATATTATAAGTATGTCGAAAGTACTCGCAATAAAATAGCACGTATCAACACGGCGATTTTCTCTCTTTCTTTAATAATGACACAAAACATCTTTGTCCATGAATATGAAAGGATCCAACTGAAAATAACAAAACACAACTTGTCTAAATTATTTAATGAAAATGTCTCAATGAAAACATGATCCTAAAATACACACAAATATATATATATATATATATATATATATATATATATTAGAGTAAATGTGAATAGGTGAATGTGTATAAGGCTAATGTACAGCTTGTATTTTGGGAGAAAAAAAAATACGAACATTTGTCTTATCAGACCTTGCAACTTTTATATTTTAAAAAACAAACCCAGAGAAAACCGAACTGAATATTTGTGAAGGCCTGTTGTAAAGATAGTATAAACAATGAAAGTAAATACTGCGCAGGTGACCCAGGTTCAGAGATGACAGGGGTAATGAGAAAATGCTTCAAGCGAGTGTCACCTGTACTGAAATCCATGGCACAACCAAGGAAATTTGAACGACAACAACAACAATAATAATTTATAATAATAAAGATAGCAAAAACAGGACGTGCTTTCTTATTGATAAATCAGTTCCTGCAGATTGTAATGAAGATCTTCAAAAAATTATCAAGCTACGATATATATATATATATATATATATATATATATATATATATATATAGATAACTAGACTCTTTGCTAATCAAATCAATCTCGAGGGAAAAAAAGGTTTTAAAATAAGAAAGAGCTACAAACATGAACTTCTGTCGACAAAAAAACGCACAGATGCAGGTCTGAAGCCCAAAGAAAAAAAACCGATCCGAGTAAACAACTAACTAACAAAGCGCTCAATACAACCGTAGAGCAGACCTAGATACACCTAGTGAGCCAGACAAACCTACCTAGGTTTCACCTAAACGGATCGTCAGGGAAAGTTTGGCCAAACTTTCCTGACGATCCGTTTAGGTGAAACCTAGGTAGTTTTGTCTGGCTCACTAGGTGTATCTATCTATCTATCTATCTATATATATATATATATATATATATATATATATATATATGCTTGTGTTTGTATGTATTCAGACAGCTGCATTAAAAATTCATAATTAAATAACCTTTTTTAAATATAAATAAATTTATTTTAAACCTCGAAAAAACTCTTCCAGATTTTCTTTAAATGACTGTAATAGACAACAATAAAACAGATTATGAATTCAAATGACATTTCAGTATTTAAATTGAAAGTGATTTTGGCGCCAGTCTAATTTATTTAGCAGTGTTTTTATATTAAACATTCCTTCGAATGTTGTGACGTCCAACAGTCGATATTGTGATTGAATTTATGACTTTAAAGTTATGATGACATGGAGAATTCCAGAACCCACATAGGAAACATTAAAAAAAAAAGTCAAATTCCACACTCGGAACATGACAGTTTTAACATGAATCTAATTTCGTCACAAGTCAAGATCATTTCTCTTTCTATTAAACTTAAAGAAATATAAGTCGAAAACATTTCTTCTGCATCATGCAATTGCTTTTAAATTCGATTATTTCTTACGCATGCCAAATATTTGATAAATAGTTGAAAAAATAAGCGTTATTCTATGTTGGCAGAAATGTCTTATCTTTTATGACAAATTTCTCAGAAACCGGATAATTTACAATATTTTCTTTAGCTTTAAATAAATATGTAAAAATCATTTAAAATATTCGCTGCAGGCATTGAACGATTATTTTATGATTACGGATATCTTTTCCTTCGTTGTTTTATAAATGCTTTTGGGTTTTATTCTTTGATTTCGCTATTTTATAAATGATCCTATTCGATTATTTCATCATGGTTCGTTATTCCATAGTTGCTTTTATTCTTTCATTCGTTGTTTTATAAATTCTCTTATTCTTTTCTAATCCCCTTATTCTTTTGTTCGTTATTTTAGAAATGTACTTACATACGTTCTTTTTTAATTACTTATTCTTTCATTCGTCGTTTTATAAATGCTCATATTCGTTTGTTTCATAATTGTTCGTTATTTTATGGTTGCGTTTATTCGTTCATTCGTTGTTTTTTTTCTTATTCTTTCATTCGTTGTTTTTTTTTTCTTATTCTTTCATTCGTTGTTTTTTTTCTTATTCTTTCATTCGTTGTTTTTTTTTCTTATTCTTTCATTCGTTGTTTTTTTTCTTATTCTTTCATTCGTTGTTTTTTTTCTTATTCTTTCATTCGTTGTTTTTTTTCTTATACTTTCATTCGTTGTTTTTTAATTCCGTTTATTTTTTTGTTCGTTGTTTTATAATTGCTTTTATTCTTTTATTCCTTACTTTAAAATTATTCTTATTCTATCATTCAATTTTTTTCTTGATTGTTTTGCATTCTATCACCAGCGAGATATAATTTATTTCAAATTTGTTTTTTAAATAATTGAGACATTTTCATTACTATATATGTATTTTCGTTCGGACGGGTATACAGATCTTGATTGTTATACTCACGTTTCAGCCACCGTACCCTTCAACCTTTTTCGGGTGTCTGTCTTTGTGCTTGTTAACCATTTTTGAATTTGAAGTAAAACATTTTATTTAATTCACTGGGTACATTGTGTGCATATGCAATTCCCATGCGTAGGGAATTATATCGTATTTTTGCACTTCTACCTTGTCTGTCTCTTCCACCGAATATGCGACTTGTCTCCGACCCAGGGATTAAAATTATAAATGCTAAGGAACCAGATATATTTTAAGCAACGCCAGTTACCTCTCGAAAAGTCTTCTACTGGGGTTGTAGCGTTTTTGAGTGTTCTTTCTATGTCCTCTCAATTGGCACTTATCACTATGCTAGGACTGCTGAGGAAATTGCAAGAGTCAGATATGTACACTATGCAATTTCATGTTCAATTTGGGATTAATCAAAGTCATTTTAGGACTAAGCAAATACAAAATGAAATAGCCAAATTCAGAATGGGATGTAACAAATTCAAAATGAAATAGTCAAGTTCAGAATGGGACGTAACAAATTCAAAATTAAATAAGCAAGTTTGATGTGGAACGAAGCAAATTCATAATGAAATAAGCAAGTTTGAATTAGGACTAAGCAGATTCATTATGGGAAATTGTTTCGAACTTATCTGCGTGTTTCAATAAACAAATATCATGTAATAAAATATCAACTGGGCGGTAAATCAGATAATTAAAAAATCGGAGCGCAGCTTTGCATAGATTTTACTATCAATTCCTTACAAGAGGCTATTCTTGAACGTATAAATTTGTGTCAAAGTTAGAGTATCTGGCACTTTCATTGGTAAGACAAACAGGGAGAAGAGAAGAAAGAAAGAGATGGATAGATTGTATATTGTGTTAAAAAGAATAAGAGAGAGTTATTCAAAATGAAATGATTTGTGGGACAACAGGGAAAATCTTGAAAGTCCTAAGAAAAAACACAAAGGAAATACTGAATGCATATATCAAGACAGAGTTTCAAAAAACTTATCTACTACTAGACCAGGAGTGTCAGGTATATATACTTTTGACCAGGCTCGAGAATTTGGCGTGAACATTGGTTTCGGCTAATATCAAATGTCTCTTTTTCTAATTTTTTTTTATTTTTGATTGGCCAGATTATTTAATTTTCCAACTTCCCTTTCTTTTTTAATTTTTTTTTTTTATAACGGAAGTTATTCGTGGAGTCTTCCTGATTTTTTGCTATTTTCAGTCACAAATAAAATAGGCTCTGCTCCTGAAAACTTCATGCGTTTTTTTTCCGGGTTTTCATTTGAGGTTGAGAAAAGTATAGAAAAAGAAGTTCAGAGATAGAAGTGGGGGCTTTTCAAGGAAGGCGCCAATGCCTTATTTTATTTTGAATTTGGTGCTACTGTATTATGATATATACCAGGGCATGTGCGACCTACCATAACTGACAATGCACTCATTATTGCTGGAAAATTCTCAGGAAAAACGATAAGCTGTTTATTATTTCTTAAAATTACCTCAAATTAGTTTACAAACATTAAAATCACTATTTGTTGATTTTTTTAAAAAATTTTTTGTATAAAAAATTATTATTGGTTTTTAATATATAACTTGTTCACTGTTCAACGCCATTAACCCTACCCACAACCCTAACATATTTCATACTTCCAACAGTTGGTAAATATCATACCATTGTAGAAAATGAATAGTAGATATCATACCATAGTAGAAAATAGATGCTAGATATCATACTATTGTAGAAAATGGATGGTAAATATCATACTATAGTAGATAATAGATGCTAGATATCATACTATTGTGGATAATGGATGGTAGATATCATACTCTAGTAGATAATAGATGCTAGATATCATACTATTGTGGAAAATGGATGGTAAATATCATACTATAGTAGATAATAGATGCTAGATATCATACTATTGTGGATAATGGATGGTAGATATCATACTATAGTAGATAATAGATGCTAGATATCATACTATTGTGGAAAATCGATGGTAGATATCATACTATAGTAGATAATAGATGCTAGATATCATACTATTGTTGAAAATGGATGGTAGATATCATAATACTGTAGAAAATGGACGTAGATATCATACTACAGAAGGAAATAAATGCTAGATATCATATTATAGTAGAAAAATGCACGGTAGATATCATACTCTGTCTATATTTATATATCTATATATTTGGCCTCTGACTCATCCCTAGAAGAACGGACCAGTATTCCAATAGATAATCTGATTGAGATGTTGACTTTCTGTACACAAACAACACACTTCGGAATGGGATCACACATATATCGACAGGATGAGGGCTTAGCAATGGACTCGCCATTATCACCAGCAATGGCGAATATATACATGGAATACTTTGAGGAAACAGCATTTGAATCTATATCTCTAAAGCCAACTATATGGTTAAGGTACATAGATGACACCTTCATACTCTGGCCACACCAGGAAGATGTTCATGTTCTACTAGACCATGTGAACTCAATAAGACCTTCGAGAGAGTTCACGATGGAGAAAGAGAGTAACAGTACACTCCCATTCTTGGATATTCTAATATCTCGAACAGAGCATTGGTTCAGGACATCCGTATACCGCAAACCGACATTCACCGGACAGTACCTCAATTTCAACTCCCAACATCCATACAGGGTAAAGAAAGGGATCGTCCGCTGCTTACAACATCGAGCAAAAGTCATAAGTGGCGACCCAGAGACATTAGATAAAGAATTGGTCAGTATAAGTAGTACCCTACAACGTAAAAAAAACTACCCTGGGTACACGGCAGCAGCCCCAATAAACTGGGTACAAGAGGAGGACAACAAAACTCATAAAAAATATTCTGACTACCTTATATGAAGGGGTTAACAGAGAAAATACAAAGGATCTGTGGTTCATATGACATCAGCACAACCTTCAAAAGAAGGACGACAATTCGCAGATATATCTCCCGATTAAGACCCCGCCCAAAGAGGAGAACATGACTAAAGACTGTGTGTACGCCATCCCGTGCAGCTGCGGAAAGAAATATAAAGGAGTGGGGACTGGCCACCCCCTTAAGGTAAGGCTTCAAGAACACCAGAAAGCTGTAACATGAGGAGAAGTGGAAAAATCAGGCATGGCTGACCACATATGGAGAGAAAAGGGAGACCCTCTGTGGGATCAGGTTGAAATCATAGACAAAGAACATGATTGGAAAAATTCATAAACTTAAGGAATCAGCATATATGCTAGGCCACAAAAATCTCCTGAGCCGACCAAGCATAGAAATAAATACAATATGGGAACAAGTAATAAGGAGTGCCAGAGAAAAGTGATAACAACGAAAATTGCAATATGAGCGCCGGTAAAAACAAATAAACAATGATAACAGCAAAAATTGCAATATGAGCACTGGTAAAAATGATTGCTGAAGACATTAGGTTTATAATATTCTGAAATTCACACACAGATGTCCTCAAGGACACATGGCTCAGTGGATAAAGGCGTTAGTTAGATCCAGTAACAGGACCCAGAAAGTATGAGTTCAATACCTCGTTAAGACGATGCAGAACTTGGAGAGGGAATTAAGCAGGAGATACCTGATAACTGACATCTATTAGACATGGCACGTGGAACTAGAACAGTCTTCCCCAGTGAGCGAAATAAAAGGTTCAGTTCGACATTCCAACCACCGGCCGAAACGTTATGATAAATATGGCAACAAAAATAGGGACGATAGTCCGCATAATGTAAATAGATATCATACTATTATAAAAAATAGATGGTAGATCTCATACTATAGCAGAAAATAGATGGTAGATATCATATTATAGTAGAATATAGATGGTAGATATCATACTATTGTAAAAAATACATGGTACATATACTATAGCAGAAAATAGATGGTAGATATCATACTATAGCAGAAAATAAATGGTAGATATCATACTATTGTAAAAAAATAGATAGTAGATATCATACTATAGTAGAATATAGATGGTAGATATCATACTATAGTAGAATATAGATCGTAGATATCATACTATTGTAAAAATACATGGTACATATACTGTAGCAGAAAATAGATGGTAGATATCATACTATAGTAGATTATAGATGGTACATATCATACTATAGCAGAAAATAGATGATAGATATCATTCTACGGTAGAAAATAGACAATAGATATCATACTATACTAGCACTTTGAATTCTTTTTATTTCTGCATATATATATATATATATATTTTATTTTGATATTTTTATCGGGACTCACAACACTACAATTCTAACCATCACTTTTAAAAACAATATTGCCGAAAAGTGAAGATAGTTAAAATAAAAGCGTATCATGGGAATGGCCTTCCTTTTCACACTCTTTATGATTGCAGGCACGAAGTTTGCCAGAAATTTTATTTTATTAACATTGGAAGGCATATTGTTAAATAAAGAAAAAGTATTCCAATGTTAAAATTGACCAATGCGGAACTTTTCAGCTGCGGCACGTTATCAAAGCTCTGAGGATGATTAGTTAGTAGGTCAGGAAACAGTAACGTCGCCACGATTTTACATATACCCCCAAACAAAATAGAAGTTTTTAAGAACGTTGCAAGAAGGTCCCATGTTAGCCGGGAGGACGACTGGTCTCTCCTTGGTATTCCTTGCAAAAACTGCATGTAGAATTTGCTAAATATCGTTGGAAGCATTTGTAAATGTACTGCATTTATACTGATAAATGCATTTTGTTCAAAAAGTTAAAATGAGGCCAGTATCGCCATATAATCACGCAAAGAAACGTACAAATGGTAACTTAG